TAATTATATTTATATAAGTTATAGTTATATATATTATAAATAAGTTATAAATATAATTAACTATGATATACGGTATTTTAAAAATACATGAAAATCACTCTAATACCACCACTGAGCGCTTTATCATTTTCTACATAAATATTTATGTATATTTTTATGCTAATATTTTATACACAATTTTATATCTTGCTTTTCTTATATCTTCCTCCATTTTTCCTCTAATCTCTCATTAAGTTTTTCAAAATTGTGATTTAATGACTGTATTATTTCTATCATGTGGCTGCGACATATCTAAATGTCTTACAATCAGAATGGTTAGATTATTTCATCATTAAAATCAGTGTATAGCCTTGTACACAAATCTTGAAACAAAATGTTAATTATTTCCTTAGGATATAATCTCATAAATGGAATTACTGGGTCCAAGGTTGTAGACATCTTAAAAACTCAATAAACAATATTTTTCTAGAAAGGCTGTGTCAATGTATACCTCCAATAGTTGATATAAAAATGGTTATCTTTCTGCACCCTCAGCAGCATTGAGAGTAATCCTTTATCATTTTGCCAGTATGATAGGCCAAAAATAAAGAAGCATTGTATTTTGGTTTTAATTTGCATTTCTCTGACAGCTAGACTAGTGAGGCTGAACGTAAAATTATTAGACATTAATTTTCTTCTATGAATTATATGTTCATAATCTTTGCAAATTTTTCTCTCTGAGTTAAAAGTATTTTTCTAATAGCTCATAAGGGTCTTGCCATGTTAAAAACAGCAGTCTACAAAGATAAAGTTAAAAGCCAAGAAGTAAGGATGACATAGTTCTCTCGTTGCCATTTCTCTCCCACTTGGTCAGTGTTTGTTCTAGTTATTACTGAAAGCACCAGGAAAGAGTCTCCCCTCCAAATCATTCAGGGTAAGAACAAGCCTCTGTAGAAGTTGTCTAATTAATTCCATATAGAGATACTTGTATTTTAAAAAATTCCCCAGGAGATTCTAATGATCAGTTAGATTTGGGAACACTGCCATACAGAACAGCTAACCTGCAAAGAAACTAAATCTAAGATTTAGAAATGGGTCCCTTGGAAATTCAAACAGCCAATGGCTCTAATGTGCCCTTTCTTTGCAGAATGCTTCCACTCAGTAAAGGTAGTGAAGAAATGAATGACACCCCATGCACTGCTTTTAAAGAGTGTGATGGGCAAGGAGACACTTTTCTTTCTGTGTCAATGGCAACCAAGAAAAACATGGATCCATGTTGTACAACATACTTCCTGAGCTGTGGATATTTTTTTTTCATTTCTTGAACACTAAGGTGCAGAGATATATGATCCCAGATGCCCCTTTCTTCCATGGCATAATTTGTTTAGCTGAAGTTTCTTGCCAAGAAACATCTCCCTTAGGAGGAAACCAAGCAAACACAACTGCAGAGGTAATTAGCTTTATTGTAATTACTGTACTTGCCTAGTAACCACCATGCAAATGCCTGGAATCCATCATTCTCACTCACGTTGGACTGGGAAGTCTAGAAAATAAGAAAATATACGCAGTATAGAGACCAGAATGACATGAAATGTGCTGAGACACAAGGGAAATATTTATGTTACCCATTTCTCTCCACTCTTCCCCCTCATAGATCTGAACCCTTCTACAGTATTACATAAGCATTTCAATTTGTTTTATTAAAAAGTGCCTGATAACTAAGCCTAATGGCAATTAGTGAGTATAAATGATTTGTGAACTGATTCTTACCACCTGCTTTGCTGACATGAAAGTGCAAATAAATATGCCTACAGACACCAGGGCAATGGAGGTATATTTGAATATACTGTATCTGCAAAAAAAAGAACAAAAACACCTTAGCAAAACAAACATACATTTCCAAATGATATTTATAATCAGATATAAGTCAATAAAATGCGATTAAGACACTAACTTCCTGGACTTTACAAAGGCATGTACGTGAAGGAAACAGGACCCTGATTAGTTTCTAAACATCTTTCCTTGGGATTGGTTAAAATAGTTTATCAGAAAATAAAAATAGAAAGAGATATGGGCCAAAAATGACACTGCACTGTACTCTCAAGAATCCAAATGCAAGCCTGACCCAGGAGCTGGTATCTGCAGCTTTTCTTGTCTCCAAGGGCTCAACCCTGAGTCATAAGACACTCACCACTCAAGACGGAAAGACTGTGAAGTACAAGAAGCAGAATTCAACAGTGAAGAAATTATTAAGTTGCCCATTCTCTGGAAAAAAATATTTTTAAAAAACACTCTCTTTGGCAGCATTCTTCACAAAATTAGAGAAAACAACCCTAAAATTCATATAGAACTAGAAGAGACCCAGAAGACCCAGAATAGCAAAAGCAATCTTGGTCAACAAGAACAAAGCAGGAGGTATCACAATACCTGACTTCAAGTTATACTACAAAGCAACAGTGATAAAAATGGCATGGTACTGGCACACAAACGGACATGTGGAGCAATGTAACAGAATAGAGGATACAGTGAAATCTCCAGACACATTCAGCTATTTGGTATTAAAAAAGAAG